AGGGGCAGCTTCTGGATCTCGACAACGGACGTGGCAGGTCGCCTCTTCCGGTCCATCTTCGACGACGGGCTCCGGCCTCCGACGACATATCCCCTCCGTAGCCGCCGGCGGCCACAGCCGGAGCATACATGCATAAACTGGTTGAACCAATAGATGCACAGGGCCTTGCGAGGGCCTGGAAGCGAAAATATGCTTTCAACCGTCCGTCAAACAATAACAACAAAAAAAAGTCAAAGTCCATCTGGGCTACCATGATAAAGTTCAATCGCATACCTTGACCCCTTGCATAAAACTATCCTTTTGGTTGGTATTTGACCATGAACTATCCACGCCCACGAGGCCGTCATGCCGCCTCCCGTCGGCACCCCACCTTCACAGGGTGACAAGACAAGACCACAACCGGGTTCATTTACCTGCATCACCAGAAGAAGACGACGAGTCTGATTTTTTTGCTTCCCTTGCCAGCTCTCTGGACCCGTACCTGAGTGGACTCTCTCCTGCTCAGGGACCCCGTCAAGATGCGGCGTTATTTCCAACGGTCCCGTGGTCGCCTTAGCTCTCTGAGCTATGCCCCAAAGAAGCTCACCACAAAGAGGCTAACGCCGGGGCGGTGCGCGCGGAAGAGCCAAGGTGAGGCGTGTTTCAGGGGATATCCCTGGATCGACAGCATAAAAGACGGGCATGCGGGTTGCGGGATTGATGGCTCCAACACGAAAGCTGAGGAATGGAGAAGGCGTTCAGATTTTCCATCGAGACTCACACATAATGGGACGAGAAAGAGCGCAAGAAACCGGGACAACTAGCAAAAGGACCTCCAGTTCCCGCTATCCGCATTCCTCGTCGAGGTTTTGTTCGGTCCCTGTGTTTAATAATTGTTCCGTGTTTAACATTCAAGAAGCGAAGGAAACCCCCACGCGCGGCCCAGATGTGATGAATGCTGCAGAAGAGGTGAGATGCTGTTTCATCGCCGACACAGAGCAGCAGCAGCAGCAGCACAAGCGCAGCCAGCCCGGCCACCCCTTGGCCTCCCGAGGTCTCGGACCTGGGCTTTGGGGTACGGCTGTCGTTTATACATGGCCTTATGCAGGCCACGCACGTTAGCCCAATTCCGCCGGGCCTGAAAGTCAGGGGCACACGTCGTGACATGTCAATGCCACGATTACACGCTTGACAAGTCGCCAATGGCAGTCACATCGCGTCCTCATCCCCTTGTCGCCCTCCTTCGTCACGTTTGACTCAAAAGACCTTTCAGGATCTGGGGAGACACACGAGAATAGCACGATGTGGTCGCACATATCAAGATCTCTCTCGGATGAACGGCTGAGCGAGATGAGTTTGCTTCCATTGGACGATTGCCCCTTGGTCCGTCCGTCCTCATGTTCGCGCCGAACTGAACTGCGGTGTTCTGAGCTTCTGTTGGTGTCGTGGAGAAGCTCGTTCGTTTCTTCCTAGAAGCTTCCTAGCTAGGAAATGGCGTGCCATGCTCATTTCCACCGACATCATCGCAATGAGTCCCCTGGCAGCCGTTGCACACAACCCGCCCGCCCCCTCCTTATCTGTCAAGTCATTCCGTCCGTCACTGCCGTCGTGGCATTGCACCACAGCCCAGCCATCACATCCAATGTAGGAAAACTCAGGCGCCCACGTAATACGCAGCATCCATCTTACGGATAATAATAAACCTGGAATTGTCTCGTCTCGTCGATCCTGTTTGGAGGAGGGGATGGCTCGAGCTGTGCCTGTTTCGCCTGGTGTGTCAGCTTCATTGATGGGGGATCCCGTGAGAGTCAGGTAAGGGGCGCAGAGGGCACACGGGTACCTGAGAAGGCCCGTCGGCCCGGGTACCTTGGCCGCGGAGCTAGCCCTGACCGTTACCTCTGTTGCGTATGTCGAGCATGTACTACTCAGTAGCATCATCTCCCCTCTCCCCACCTCACCGAGCTGAGATCATCCGTGCCCCACCAATAACGAGCAAGATGGAGGATAGCAGCCTTCCAATCTCTCCTCCGTGTTGTCCTCTCATTGTTGAGATGGTCGGGTCGTGCTCGTGCTCGAATTCGTCCATCGAACTCTGGGGGATTGCCAACAGGCAACAAGCTCCCTCCCTCTTACTTTCCTCTTCTTTCTCGAAACCTTCCTTCGATTCTGGTCAGATCCCTCTCCACCTCGTGAGACGCCCAGGTCCGACTCAACTCCACCATAACCTCCAAGGCCAGCGATACTCTCCGTACCTACTATACCTACACTCCGACCCCTGCTCCGCCTTTCTTCAACGTCCCCTTTTGGGCCACTGTCTGTCAAAGTCGTCCTCCAACATCATCCCATCCCACGCGCCTTGTACAGCTTCAGCCTCGGCTCGCCTCCGACCTCGCTGTCACCGACCGTCTCGTCTTGTCCTGTCCATCCTCACTGCGAACCCCATGTCGCGCTGCTGCATGGGACTACCTTAAGTGGGATCGCTCCCGAGATAGACGGCAGGGTTCAGAGGTCCATCGAGAGATATTCACCTTTGTTTTTTGCAGTTAGGGCCTATGAGAAGGAAATAGCTACTATTGGCATCGCCTACTAGCTCGGCAATTCATCCTTTCGCCCAACACTCCGCTCATTCATCTTGTCCTTCTTTCTCTTCTTCCCCAACAACAACAACGACACGGACATTGTTTCCATCACCAACCTACGTCCTCCGAACCTCTCCGTTGGATAGCTTCAACTCCCGGCCACTGCCTGCATGCATGCAAACTTGGAATAGGCCTGCATTGGGATCAGCTGTTGTCTGTCCTACGCCTCGTCCGCAGCTACTACACGTTTTCCCTTGTTAGGCTACCATCTTGTTGTCGAGCAAAAAGCCCCAACAGTCATCGTCTCCTTAACCCTCCACCGCTCTCTCTCTTGTCCTTCTGGGGAGGCTTGCCCTGGGTCACCGCATTTTGGACCCTCGCAGCCGTTGCCCCTGGCCTGTTCGTTTGTGTATACCATACCCATTGTAATGCCCAGCAAAACCAGCCGGACAAACATGGCCAGCTCCAACCCTCCTCCGTCGCCATCCTCTACCAGCTACCTCGAGCAGACCGTGTCGATATTGACGTCGGTCGCCGGCTACATGCGTCTGCCCGCGTTGGCTTCCACGGTACGTCGACTCCGCAGCAAGCCGTCGTCCATCCGCCTGAATGCAGGTCCCAGTCCCGCTACGTCCAAGTCCCCATGAGCTGACCACGCCGTGCGCAACTTTACAGGGCATCGCCGCCGTCCTCACCTCGCTGCTGTACTTTAAGCAAAAGTTCGTATATCCGTCTTATCCATTGACTGCTGTTACTGCTTCTTGCCTCATCCACTCTTCGACCCGCAACATCATCATGCCGTCCCCCACGCTAACCCAGCCTCTCTCGCTTGCATTAGGGCATTGATTTATCCGAGCCACATTCCCGCAAACTCTCGCTCCGACGTTCCTAAACCTTCTGACTTTGGCATCAAAAACTTCGAAGAGTTGTATATCCCTACCGACGATGGCGAAAAGCTCTCTGCCTTCTACATCCGGGGCCCTCGTGGCCACAAGAACTCCAATGTCACTATTTTGATGTTTCATGGGAATGCTGGGAACATCGGTCACCGATTACCCATTGCTCGCATGATCATCAATTATATTGGTTGCAATGTGTTCATGTTGGAGTATAGAGGCTATGGCTCTTCAACTGGAGAGCCCGACGAGTCTGGCTTGAATATTGACGCTCAAACTGGGCTGAACTATCTTCGGCAGCGGGCCGAGACACGAGATCACAAGCTCATCGTCTACGGTCAGAGTCTGGGGGGTGCCGTCAGCATCAAGTTGGTGGCCAAGAACCAGGACTCGGGTGCTATTACCGGCCTGATCCTCGAGAACACGTTTCTCTCCATCCGGAAGCTTATCCCTTCCGTTGTGCCTCCTGCCAAATACCTCACCCTGCTATGCCACCAGGTCTGGCCCAGCGAGTCGATACTACCCAGTATCAACAAGGTGCCGACCCTCTTCATCAGTGGCTTGCAGGATGAGATCGTCCCGTAAGTCTTCCCTCTATCCGCACACTCCAACCACTACTTGATCCTGTGATGATCAAATTTGCATCACCCACAAAAGATGAACCCTCGTGGTCTTGATAAGAAAGCAAATATTCCCTGACGATCCAACCATCCTTCCGCTTTAGTCGCCAACTATGCAAGCCGGAACATAGGCTAACGTTAGCTCACAGACCGCGGCACATGAAGCAACTGTACGAGATCTCCACGGCACCCACCAAGCGGTGGAAGCCCCTGCCCGGTGGTGACCATAACTCGAGCGTTCTCGAAGAAGGTTACTTCGAGGCCATGTCAGATTTCATCGCCGAGGTGACAGGCGACTCGCCACGGGAGAAGACACGCATATAGGATAGGCGTAGATCTTTCCACGCACATCTTCATCATCACCTCAGGGTCCGAGTAAGGGAAACATCACATACAACATGCATGCATACACTCACGATTGAATGACACCCTCCGTCTTTGTTTTTGTTGCGCAAAAAAAGAAATCCTACCTAGCATCCATCATCATCATCTTGTATAACACACGAATTTGCATATTTGTCCACTTCCATAGAAGAAACCTGGAAATTAATGAAACATTGACCAACTTTACTTGCTCGTGTGGTGGGGATTATCTCCCATGTGATCCTCCTATACAATGCTCTCGTGACACCAAACTAACTCTTGGAGGTGACATTGTGTCTTGGATTACGATGCTAGTTGCAAAGGTCTAAAAGCAAAAAGTACAGGCTCAACAGCTTTGACCTAGTGGCTTTCTCATTGAATACCTGGTATTGGCTACCAACTATTTGGTCCCGGGTCTAAATGTAAAGGTCATGGAAATGTTGCGAACATGTCACAACAGATACCACTTTGACACTTTGACAATGCCAAGACGGTAATAGACATGATTTAGACTCATAGTTATTGAATTGACCTCGCCTTGGAAACATGCTCTACTACCAGCCCTAGCATTCTACATCCCCATCAAGTGCCGCCCACACCTTGCCCACCTCAGGCTGCTGTGGCTTCTTCTTCTTAAGCCCGAGCAGCTTGCGGCCGGGCTTGATCGAGTCCTCGGGCGCCGGCGTCGACGATGAGGAGGTGGGCTTGGACGCCGCCCGCCCAGCCACGGCGCTCCATCCCCCTGCGCCCGGTCGGCGGAGCACCTCGCGGCGGGTGACGGCGCCCTTGTCATCCGAGTGGCAGAGCAGCACACCCTCGGCGAGCTTCTGGCTGCGGATCGTCTGCTCGACGCGTGGCTTCAGAGCAGCAAGGCTCTTTTCGACTGGGGCGGGTGTGAGAAAGGCTGAGTACTGCGCTGTAGCCTTGATGAGAACCTCATCGTTAAGGAAGTCAGTCTTGAACGAGAAGCCCTGCAGGGATGCAAGGTCTGAGGCGAGAGCGGTTGTGACTTCGTCAATGGTCAGGCCAAAGCGAGGCTCGGTGAGGACCATGCTGTTGAAAGGCTCGCTATCAAAGGGGGGTGGGCTCGGGGGGCGAAGGGCCGCAGCGGCAGAGGCTTCGGCAGCCTGAGCGGCTCGGATCTTGACGCATTGAGCGAGCGTCTTGGGCGGAGCAGATACGAACTTGTCCGTCTTCCAGACAACGACGGATCGGTTCGAGCCGTAGTCCTCGCTCTTGCTCTCGAGGCCAAAGTCTTCAGCTAGGAGGTGCAAGAACTGGCGGGACTCATTCCGCATGGGTTCATATCGAAGACGAACCTCATCCGGGTCAGCAGCAAAGACGCGGAAATGTCTCTCCTGGCTGTCGCCCCAAGAGGGGAACTGCTTGTACAGCTTCAGCGTGTTGTCTGAGAAGGGGACATGGTCGTTGGTGTGTGACGCAGGGTCAATGTTGAGAGCTGCGGCAAGACGACGGTTACGGTCCAGGCGTTCACATTCTTCGTCGCATCTTAACTCTGGACGGCTTGGAGTCGGGTTGCTGGTGCTCGTGAGGCACTTGAACTCCTTTTTGTAGTTACCGCAGGGGCATTGGACAACCATCTTCTTCTGGCAGGCAGTAGACTCATTACAGGCTATCCGTGGGTTAGTTTATACAACATGCAGATTGATTTGAACACTTACGAGTCTGGCCATGGCAGACATTCTGGCAAATATGATTGCAGAGCAGCTTCGTCTTTCCACAGACTTGCTCACAGCCCTCTCGAGCATCGCCGCACTCTCCAGGGCGGTGGCAAAGCTTCCTACAAGTATGAAGACTATACAAGGTCAGTACCCACAGATCTTTTGAAGGGCAATAATAAACCTACCCGCATTGAAGCTTTTGCCCACAGACCTCGCCGCAGTGAACCTGCTGGAGATGGCAGGGCTTGTTGTGAAAGGTTGTCTTTCCACAGGCGCATACCTTCTCAGTTAGATACGCGCAAGGAGGACATTCAACGTCATCAGGATGACACTGATGCTCGACAGAGGGATGACCGCAAGCGGTCTGGCGCCTGCACTTGGATGTGCAATATGGCTGGCGAGTCCCACATGGTTGAGGAGGCTGAAGAACCGTTGCACCGCAGTTGCAGCTAATCTCGGTCCATACAGCTTCAGGACAGCTCTGGCAAGCTCCACGATGGCAGAGCTGTTCACAGAAATGGCTACCACACTTGAGTGGCCTTCCACAAACCTGAACACAGATGTGCTCAGCTTCAACCGGAATAGAGTCGACACCAAGACGCTGCTTCTTCTGCTGGGCGATCCGCTGTGATGCCTTCTTTTCACCCGGGCAGCAGTGCTCTCCACATCGATGCCGACCGCAGTTCCGAGTTGCCTGACACACCTTGAAGCACAGGGGGTGTTGGATATCCCCCTCGTGGCAGATGGACGGGGCGGTGACTCGGCCACACCGACAATCTATATCCATGACCTGCATACAAGGGTCACAATCTCCAGTGTGACACAATGACTGGCATGTGTGGCCACACTTGAGCTTCTTCTCGCAGACTTTCTCGCAGTGAGGGACATGCTCCTCGCAAGATTGGCGCGGGTGATCCATGAGATCCTTGAGCGGTGTCTTTCCGCAAGGACAATGGGTTACCACGTCCGGGGAGAAGGGGCAGTGAGCCGGGAGCTCATCCTGCGGATGGCAAGACGTCTCACAGCGATGAACTCCACAGTCGTAGGCTCTTCCACAGGCATTCTCGCAGCTGAAGGAGCCCTGGAACCAAGAATCGTCGGTAGGATCATAGGAGTCGCAGACTTCATCCTGCTTGAAGCATTCCATCTCCTTCTCGACTCGTCCGCAATAGCACCTAGCCTTCACTGCCACCTCGCAGGTTCCACAGACACCTGGGTGACAGATCTGCGAGCATTCGTGCTCTCCACAAGATAGCAAATCGCCACATGGCTCCCGGCAACTCCAACCGTTGTAGTAGTCGGTATCTCTGCAATTCTTGCGAAGCGTGTGCTTACCACAGTAGCAAGGCTCGGGAGGGCTTAGCACATTGCAAGGTGGACAGGGCCCAGGATGGCACTGAAGGGTACAGGGGTGTGAGCAAGTCGTCCGTGGTTTAGAACATGTCTGTCCACACGAGTGAGGGGGCAAGAGGCTGTTGTGACTGGGGTTGAGATCTTTGCCGCACCAACACTGATAATCACCAGGCTCGCCAGTCAGGCTTGAGTTGCAACCGGGACAACGCCATGACTTGTCACCGGTGGCCTCGTCCACCTTCATCGAGGTGCTCCACCATTGATGAGCGCACTTGAGATGGACGACGGTCCAGCAAATAGAACACGACCAGACATAACTTTTGCGGGTAACGTCATCGGCGCAGATTCGGCATTCGTAATTCCAGTTGCTAATGTCCTCCTGGATCCGTTGCCAAAGGTCGGAGGCAGTCGACTTAGGAACGTCCTGCTTTGGCCTCCCCTGTTTCCGATCAGACCGAGATCGACCTCCCTTAGAGCGCGGCTGGGTCGGAGGCTGAGACTGAGCCGAGCTTGATTCCGCAGCACTGAGATGATTAGCATAAGAGGGCGTGTTGTGTTGCGGTTAAGCAAAGCTTACCTTCGTGCAGCGACGGGTTGCCCGGGGACAAACTCGGGAGCGTCTGCACTCAATGACTGATCCTGGGAAGTTGCTTGAGCCGGTTCTTCCGTTGTGGTGGTCAAGCGGCCACCGAATTGCCGATGAGGTCCCACGCGGAATCCTCCTCTTCCTCGGTTCTCTGAACCATGAGAACCACCTCGTTGACCGCGCCGATTCCGTCGGCCTCTAGATGATGCTGAACTTTCAGGAGCGGAAGAGGCGGGCTGCTCCACCTGGGGTGTTGTTGAAGGTGTGCCATCAGTAGCATCAGCAGCGGTGGCTTGAGAGGCGGCGTTTCTACCACCTCGGGAGCCTGATGTGGTGGATTGATTCCCTTGACCGCGGTTCCGGCCACCTCTTCCCCTACGACGTCCACCACGTGAGCCCCCTCTCGATCCTGATGCTCGACCTTCATTCTGGGACTGATTCTGAGCCTGATTCGAGGCCTGTCCTCCCCCCTGCTCCGCCATATTGGCAGAAGTCACTGTGAGAGACTGCGTAGCCGATAGTAGCGGAATGGTTGCGCTGTGTAATATAAAGCGTCTTCAAACTGGAATGACAATGAAAATGGAAATGGAAAAAACTGGAGCAAAATGCCTGAGGAGATGGAGCGTGCAGTGTTGGGAAGGTTCACTCGCTAAGGTTTCAACAGCCCTGCTGATGGGATGAGATGGGTAGCAGGGACGAGAGATGCGAAAGGATGAGGAGAAGATCTAGGAAGAAGGAGGAAGAAGGAGACGTAGGACCCGAGTCGATGATATATCGAGAGGCGTTTGTCTCGACCTCAAACAAAACTCGGGAGGCGTTGGAGGTCGGTGGAGCCTTGAAGCTTCCGCGTGTGGCGAAGCCTTGCCCTGCTCTGACAAACATTGGCTGACCATCAGAATGACTCACCCAGGAGTGACTGCCTCTCTAGGTCTGCAATTTTGCAAGCTCAGTTCTGAGTGGCCAAGACATTTCACTATTCAGAAAACTACATTTTAGCGTCTCACGAGGAGTCATACAAGTGATTATTCAACCTATTTCTTGCATTTCTCCGACGGGAGCCTGGAAGCTTGCAGGAGAACTTTGATATCAAAGTCGATGAGTAATGTGGCTAGTGACAGCACCGCCACAGAGGGTCCGACGTCTACCGGGTAGCTCCCGTCCTTGGATTCATCTTACACCATTGTCCTATCACTATTTCTCGATATTGTGTTGTTAGATATTTGACTCCTCTTATTATATTGGGCAATTGTCTGCTTTTCTTTTCCCCTTACTGACTGGGTGGTCGGATGCAGGATCCCTCAAATCCAGCTGATGGGCTGACGCAGCTTGCCGCAAGAGTGAAGCAAACGCTCAAGCTTTGATGTGCTAATAAAAGTATGACTCTGGTTGCACAAGACCAGAATGAGGCTTGTTCCTCTCCCGGTTGTTACTACCATTGCGGCTATCCGCTTTGCCAAGGTTTCATGCAGGACGGGGAGGGGTGCTTGAGTGTGGAGGCGCTCCGCGAATGGAAACATCTACTTACTCGAGAATACCACAATGAATCAGCTAGAAGAACATTTGATATAAATATAAATTAACTCTGGGTCTGGGTGTTTCAGCCTTATGAGGAGGCATCACTCATCCAGTGCTCCACATCGCGGGAAGATGGGAAATCGAGGATGGAGATGGCAGCATTGTTAGACATACAATTAGAACAAATAAAGTCTGTCATAGTTGAGCGAGGTTCCTAGCCAACAATCTATCCAAGTTACAAGTGGAGGCCAGGTGTGAGACTATCACTCATGAATAGCTTCACCAGCAATTATAATGCCACACAAGCGTGAGCAACGCAATTCAAAACACTCAAATCACCGTGATGACTTGAACCAAGTATCAGAGAGCTAGACATTGAACTGTTAGGAGGTTACTCTAATTTAAGGTCACAAAAGCTTACGTGAGTGGATGTTGTTGTAGCTGTTCCACATTCTGGCCGATTGATCGGCGAGAAAGGACAGGCCTAGGTGCCGAAATCCGAACATATCCCAGCAATGGCATCAGAACCAACTGCGCCATTGACATATCAAGCTTTTTTTATCTCATGAATTTGAGATCGTCGATGGGTAGCGGAGATAGAGCGGACTTTATGGCCCTCACAGTTATCATGGTGCGAGGGCTAGATGAACCACCAAGATGGTGGCCATTGACATCTTAACTACCTATAAAACCCCAAGGGATCATTTCAAATATTATTTTTTTATTTAAAAAAAAAAAAAATAGTATTTAGATCAACATGCTCCTTAAAATTTCCCTGTGAATATTGTAGATAGACTGTGCCGAGTTTTCCGTCTGGCCATCTTCGTATAAAACCTCGCAACAAGTGATGTAATGGCTCTCCACAGCTTTTGTAAACACCCACAATTAGAACAATGCCTCAACTCCCTGAGTGGTCAACTGCCCAGCTCTGTAACTGACGATCTCTCGTGTTAGTTTCCACAACAGGGGATAAGGATGAAGGCTGGAATCTTGATCAGTGGACCGCTGGGTCCCTCATCCCTTTCGTGTTTCTGTGCTCAAATACTATGCGGTCCCCGCCAAGAGGACATACGTTTGGGCTCTTCTCGCTTTTCTGAATGAATTCTACTTCCTGTAGAAGTAGTAATGCCTTGTTAATGATTTAAGGTAAATCAAGTTGAGCTGATCTGTAAACGGCCTATTACGTACTCACTTTGCCCTAGGTAGCTTGTCCACTTACACCAAGGCTATCGTCACCTGCTCTTTGCCTCGCTAGCCATGAAGTCACTCTTCTTTCACCTAGCATTGGCCACCATTTGGTTATGCTTATTCCGGTATTGCCAGCGAACCTCTTTCCATGACCCCTCGTCCCTGTTTTACGACTCAGATCGCGCATATACCCGAAACTACTCAGCAACTCGAGAGTTGGAAGCCGACGAATTCCTCGAGAGAGCTTCCTGGGCACCCGCAACAGCAAAACGCCCATGGATATACCATGGAAAGAATGACATCGAGAAGCCAGACGGGTACAGGATATGCATCGGGATCCCTAGTGTTCGAAGAGAGAGGGAACAGTTCACTGGACGGACGATAGCTTCCTTACTTGACACTCTAAGCCCAGAAGAGCGGAGACTGGTCGACTTGAAGATCCTACTGGCGGACGATGCGCCGCAGAACCACCCGGCTTGGCAGCAGCCATGGCTCCATAACGTCGCCGACGAAGTGCTAATTTACGGACAAGAGTCGAGCACCAGGACCGACAATGCTCAGTGCATCACTTCGATCTCACGGCGTTCAACTATTGGCGACGATCGAAACAAAAGAGTTCAGCTAGACTATGCCAATGTGATACGCGCATGTCGAAGCACGGAAGCCGACTACTTTGTTCTGGTCGAGGACGATGTGATTGCTTCGCGAGACTGGTTTCGAAGACTGCGCAAGTCACTTGAAGAAACTGAGGCTAGAAACACTGGAACGGATTGGTTCTATCTTCGACTGTTTTATTCGGAAACTCTCCTAGGGTGGAACTCGGAAGAGTGGCCGGTCTACCTGCGGGACTGCATCCTCACTTACACGGCGGTCCTCCTCGTTGTGTTATTGGTGCGATGCAGGTCGGCGGTATTGAAGCCAATGAGGTCAACAGATCTCATCAAGCCAAACGTCTCTCTCATAATCCAGACCCTATTTTGGGTGACAGCTTACCTAGCCTTGTATTTCATGGCTGGTAGACTATTGGTTGACCCATTTGGAGCTGGCGTCCATGAGATGCCGCGTTATGGCTGTTGTGCTCAAGGTCTTGCTATGCCTCGTCGGCATCTGGGGACATTAGAGAATCAACTTCGAGAGCCACCTCATCATCTTGCTGGTGATTCATTTGTGGACATAGTGGCGGATCAGGAAGGCCTCAAGAAATGGGCCATGGTTCCGAGTGTTTTGCAACATGTGGGTGTAAGAGGTTCATCAGAACGCGGGGGATATTACAAGACCACATGGAATTTTAGCTTCGAAAAGGGCCTAACCGAGTAGAACAAGATAGCCGTGTATCACAAGTTAATAACCGAGCTACAATGATGTGATGAACCTAGGATATCAGGTTTCCTTGGTAAGGGCGCGCGTAGGACTACCCTACAAATTCGGTCAACTCGGCTGTCATTGGCAACACACCTCGGTCAAAGGTTGAAATTCCGGCACGGTCATTGATGTCCTATGCACTCCTAGAGAAAAGTGCCGCCTCAAGGCAGTCTCGGCATGACGAACAAACGGAACCGATCACGTTGACAACACAAACCCGCCCAAGTATTGGAAGGCATCGGGAGAGGCCGGGATAGCGGACCCGGCTCCGGAAGCCCGTCTCAGATGGGGGCGAGCGGCGGCTCCTCCAGATGGTCGACCAACCCCCGGACCAGGCCAGCTGTTTGGGGGAAGCTTCCCTGTCCAATGACGAAGCCAATGGCACAGGCACACCTGCCTGGTGGATCTCGCAGAAAAGAGACGGATTTTCCGTCAAGCTTCCCAAAACATGGCGGTCTGTGAGATTGCCGATATGTGCGAGCATGGAGGAGCCCAGGAGCTTTTGAGACCCCTGGACAGCCGGAGCTCTGGAAGTACATGTATCTGCACCCTTATCGTCTGACAGGGAGGCATTCCAATGGAACGCCACGCACGAATGGGAAAGACGATAAGCTGAATTTGCTTGCCAATCCTTACCCCCAAAAGCCGGGTCTCTGTTCGTGGCGCTCAACGGCTTAGGAGGTGCAAAGTCAATTGGAGGCTGTACCTGGAAGGCTTCAACACCACACCAAACGACAAAGCACAAGGCACCATCTAACCTTGAGCCCCCAATATCCGTCTGGGGTATGGATGGAGTGCAGAGGAGCTCCCAGGCCCGCCCCGCAGCCCGCCCGGGATGATATCTCGTGCTACGGGCAGAAGCTTAGCGTGGCGTCAGCCTGGCCTGGGAGCTGCTGCTACTGTTCCAACACGCCCCCCTTCCGCAGAGGCAGATCCATCCATGAATGCTTTTTTCATCGCCCAATGTCGTGGTGCGGACGGGCAACCTCCGAGGTCCCCCCATGCATCAGTTCCAGACCGTCGGTGAATGATGGGGAACGGCCTCGGTGTCGATTGGAATTCGACGCCTCGAGCAGAATTTAGATCTTACATCAACATTTGAGTGTGTCGAGGTGCAACTGTCTGAGGATGATGGGAGCGAGTTCGGAGCCAGTTGGTAGATGCGTCCGCCCTTGACAGTGGGAGACGTTGGGGTAGCACAGGCATCCACGTGACCTCTCAACGTCGCCGATGCCAATTTTCGGCGGCGAAGGTTGATTTTTGGGGGGCGGGCCAGCAAATCTGGGATTCATTATCAACCTCACCTCCAAAACGACGAAAAAACCGCCCCTTCACCTCAACCACCTCCCGCGAGACCGACCCCAGATTATTCAAGATGGCTGCAATCATCAAGGCTGCTAATGCCAAGATCCGGTCCAACCCGGTATCTGATTACATCTGCTCGACCCGTACGTTTTCCAGAATCGCCCTTGTCATGCTTTTCCCAAGAGCTCCGATTCGTCGCCGAGAGCGGAAATATGTCATGTCGCGATCCAACACCTGAACCGACGACTGTTATAGCTCTCGTGGAGTGTTTTTGACACTGGGGAATAATGCGCACAAGCTGTGTCTCTTATCGCTCAAGTCAATTGACGTGCGGACAAGCTTGAAGTTGCTGCCAGCTGCGACTTGGTCATGGAGCACGGCAGCTCCGGAGGCATCAATATGCGACAATGTAGACTGACTCTTGACTATTTCAGACTTCTGGGGTCCCGTTTCCAACTTTGGCATTCCCCTTGCCGCCATCATGGACACACAGAAGAGCCCTGAACTGTAAGACTAACCTCCTTTGCGTAGAGGTCGTAACTGACTCATCTCCTCCAGCATCTCGGGACAGATGACCGGTGCCCTCATCATCTACGCTGGTACCTTTATGCGCTACTCTCTGGCTGTGACACCCCGAAACTACCTCCTCTTTGCCTGCCACTTTGTCAACGCCGGCGCCCAGCTCACCCAAGGATACCGATGGCTCAACTACCACTACTGGGGCGGAAAGGAGGACATGGCAAAGGAGCAGCTGGTGCATGCGGCAGAGGTGGCCAAGAACAAGGTTGAGAAGGCCGGCGAGAAGGTTCAGAGCGCCGTCAGCAAATAAGAGGAGAATAGACCGAAAACACCCGGTCAGGATCGGTGTGTCGGGAACGGACGCCGTTCACTGTGGGAGCATCCCCGGGCTTGACCTCGGGGTTCGGAGAGTGTCACACGCGGCCACGCAATTCCATGTACACCTACGAGAAACTTCCCCATGCTCCTAGTCGAGAGGGCACCTAGAGGTTGGGGTACCTGCAGTGATTGCCCAGAGAGGTGCTAGAGAAGGACATTATTCGCTTTCTGGGGAACATTAGATGAATCAATTTGGTTAGAACAACAGACCGCGCCCCGGGAGCCACACCAGAAGCTCGAGGAGCGAGTGAGCGTGAAGAACTGTCCCCCGCAAAACGCAGACAAGAAGCCTTCCCCCGGGAACGCTCCCGAGCTGCTCGACTTGGTTGATGGTGATGTAGAACCGCCAATGAACCGGCAACTCTCCAGCCGTGCATCAGTGGTGTCGCCTCGAAGCTCCAGATGGCGCATGCGAAACACTCGACTGCATACCCACGACTTCCACAACTCCCAAGTCCTGCTGAGTGTCTGTATGTATGCACCCCCACAGGCGGCGGCTAAAGGGACAACGAGGGACAGACGCCCTGACCACTAGATAGCCCAGGCCACATGAAACCTCATCTCGGGAAAAGAGAAAGAAGATCTGGGTTGGAGTGGGCCCGGTTGGGGACCCCGATCTTGCGTGTCAAGCAGTCCCAGGGCCCCTGGAACTCTCTTCTCGTGCCTGGCCTGTGCCCGGGAGGGCCAAGGTGAAGGGCGACTAAGCTTGCTCGGTGCCGTTGCCATTATTAAATCTGAGGTCACGGAGCGTGGCATCAAACCCTTGGCCAGGCGAAGTTGGGTAATGTTCTGGTCGGATTCTGCCCGTGAGCGTGGAGTCGTATGCCGAGAGGCTGCCAATCCTCGTCGAGGATTCTCGGTGGACGTCGCTGTGGACTTGTAACGCCGGGGAGACCCGCCGTTATTGCCAAATCATTACCGGATCCGCGTGTTGCCTTTTCTAGCCGGTGCTTGGAGATGGGGATGGAGGCGCATCTGATGTTCGAGTCCCCTTGTCAGACTCCCACATGATGCGCGCCATCTGCAGCACGTCACGGCAGCTCGTCCTCAAGAGGACAAGGGGAGGCAGGAAAATGAGCACCGTCGGGGAGATAAGGAAAATGTCGCGGACATGTTTCTGGGCTGATGAACTGTGCTGACTGGTTCGCCTGTCGTCGGTCGTTGGCTGTGTGCATCTCGCAGCAACGACGTGTGCTTGGGTGCGAGCAAGATTCATTGTTTCACAAGCATACACATACGCATACGCACGCAACACAACGCATAGACATGCCTACATAAGCATACACACCCAAAGAGTCGATCGTCGAGGCAAACTCGCTCCCGGTCCCCGGCCATGCAAGGTCGACCGGCATTGGTGAGGGGAGAGGCGTCTGTCAGTGCCGCGAATTGTTTCGGCCGACACCCAATCCAATCCGCGAATGTCACGAATAGTCAAATCTAGAAATGCCTTCCTCTTCGGCTCTTGTTCAGCCCTACCCCAATTGACCTCGATTGGTCTCGATTTAACCTTGTTCAGCCGTCACCGACTTCCAATTTGGGTGAGCTCGGAGGGGTACACCGAAGGCCGACCTCGGAGCTAGCTCGCTATTTTGGACGGCGGAGATGTCGCCGGCATGAACTTCCCAGTAGGAAAAAGGCAGAGAGAAGGGTTTCAGGAAGATCCCCCAAGAAGAGCAGGAGTAGGAGCTGCCAGCCGCCTTCACTGCTACAGGTCGGACGAGGGGGGAGAAATGCGCACCAATGGAATAGCCGACTTAGTCAAATCGACTAGCTACGATTCGCAATGTGCCGGCCTTCTCCCACCGAGAGAAGATTTCTTCGGCCCAGGTGAGCGACATCCAAGGGACGGGCAGGGGTGGGTGGGTAGGAGGTCCCTTGGAACACGCGCAGTGTCACGGATGCCGCCGTCAATCAAGGTCGACAGACGGGGGTGGTTGTTGGACGGCCTGGGGCCAAGCAGAAACGAGGTGCCGGCCTTCGACCTCCGTGGGGGTGGAGTATGCCGTGGGAATAAACACTTGACAGAGACGGGAGATTGGCCTCGAGAGCTGGCGGCAAGACGTCCGCAGTAGCCTCGGGCTTCTTCGTCTCCTGATCCAAGGAATAAACCACCGAGGCGGCTAACCCTCGTCCCTGATGGCTATCATCGCCTCGTCGGCTATTGACAGTTGCCCTGTGTTAACTATTCGATACGACAGGGCAACAAGGCCTTCACCAATGGACCAAGCGGGCCGGTTATCTGCCACCCCCATGTCACCTCTCCACTGTGCACATGTGTGTTTTTGACCAAGAGCTGGAGTGGGTGGTTGATCATCAATAAGGCCAGCGAGGGATATGGCAAGATGGAGGCGCCGGCGAGCGGCGAGGCGCGCAAAATGCTTCAAAATGCCCGGAACGGCGACGACGCACCCCGCACTCGTAGAATCCGCCGAGCTGGGGGGCTCGGGGCTGGAGCTCGGAGCTCGAGCGAGCTGGAAGCTGGAGATGCGAGTTTGGGTCGGCGAAAACAGCCAGGGGCCGATGGAGGGTTGGTCCCTTCCCTTTGGGTGGTGTGCCCCCCGTGTGGTGGTGGCCGTCCCGTCCGTGGGTGCGCCGTAGACGACGACCATGACGGGAGACCCGTGGCGGGGGACCCAGACAAGGCCGTGACCGTGACACCCATGGCCCATCCCTTGCCATGGGACACACAATCCCGAGATGCTGCAGCACAGAGATGCGATGCGGCGTGCGTCGGGAAACGCTGCTGCGGCTCTGTCGCCGTGTGCGAGAGCCTCGGGGCAGGGATCCAGGGTCATCTCGCCAGATGGTGCTGCATCATCAAGACGAGTCGACACATCCTCGGCATTAAGGAACGCCCAGGGCGATGCAAACGTGGATCCTCTGACTGGACTTCCCTTTGTCCATGGCATGGCAAGCCATGGGCAGAGACCACACACAGCATGCTCGTCGCTACGCCGGCGTCAGGCGGGTGGGACATTACAACCTCTAGAGGTAAAGTTGCGGTGCGGGCAACCTCTAGAGGTAAGGCGTGAGTACAGGTAGAACCTCTAGAGGTAAGGTGCGCTCAGGTCGGTGTACGTGGACGAAACGCAGAGAAGCGCTCAGAGTACCTTTGGACCGGATTGTTGAGGAGCAGAAAATTTCTTTTGCCGAGCGAAGGAGGGGAGCGAGCGCACACACCACGGCGCAGCGTCGGTCGCGCGTTGGACTGGGCAGCGGTTGTTGTTGAGATTATATGAAAAGCTTGGGAGATAGATACTGAGATATAGGCCGATAGAGCTGATAGAGACCAAAACCTGAGCCAAAACAAACAAGTCATGGCCAGGAGAACTGTGCACTATCGATGGGTGCTGATTGGCCAATGGCTTTTGGCTGAGCCAGAAGACAAAACGAGTTGCGTCAACTCTCCCGCGCGACCTTTTTTTTTTCTGCTTGGCTCGCTTTTCTCGTCGCAAACAACACCGAGACAGATCATGGCCCCCATCCACAGCCGTCCATAAGCCAATAGCTCATCTTGTCGCACTAGTTAGTTATGCATCCAAATCCACTCGTTCACTTTCCTCATCTCCAACAGCCGGTGCTTGGTCCGCCTGAGTCTGTTCGGCCATCTGATAGGTGCTCTTCCCGTGTCGCTCGTTTCTCCCTCGTCCTCACCACCATGCCATGGATCTTGCTATGCCCATCCATCGCCTCCCGTCCCGGCCGGGACTTGTGAATCTGCCACCACATCTCGCACCATACACGCCCCCCATGCCCCCATGTGTCTTGTCATTTTGCCTGTTCCCGGGCGAGGCGCGGGTCAAGTCCATCATCAACCCATGTCGATGGTACACGGTGCTCACGATGCGTACTGCGGCGCACCACCACCACGTTTCTCCCAAGCTCATTCCCCCCCAGTTTTCCGGGGTCTAGTCTACCATGCCTCTGTCTGCGCTCCTCCTCCTCCTCCTCCCACAGCCGCCATGCTGTACAGTTGCTGCTGTTGCCTCTGCCTCTGCTTCTCCCGCCGCTCTATGCATACATAGGACGCAACCCCCCGTTGCTTGCTGCAGCACCTCGACCGGCCCGGTCCAACAGCATCCATGAATATCTCCATGGATCCGTAGATGCCAGATGAACGCCTCCCGGGAGCCCAGAAAGGTAGCCTGCCCAGTGGGAGAAATGACGACTGCTTGCCTGGACAACAGAGACAGGAACAGGGTCTAAGGAATCTGGCTCGGCGAGGTACCTGCAGTGCACGCCGCGGCTGTATGGCCGAGCCAAGTCCCACCCCCAGCTCCGTTAGCTGGTGATCGTCTGGAGACTTTTTTCTCCTCCTCTCATTTCTGCCGTGATCAAATGGTATTCAAAGTCCGCACCTCTATTGCCGTTTTGGTATGCTGTAGGCGAGGACTCAAACTCCGATCGAGGTCCGTTGAAGACACGGCTGGTAAACCGCCGACTAATTAGGTAGCGGGTGGCATGGTTCCTTGGTGTCAACCGCCGGCTCTATCAAGCTTCGGAGGGGGCAGACGGAGCTGCTACGGACATTCTCTGAGTGAGTGAGGTAGCGACCGCGCCGTCCCCGCCTGCGCGCACCGCACCGTCGTCTGGAGGTACAAGCCATTTTCCTGGGATGAATGCGCCTTCCCACTCCATCATGATGGGCATCTCTCAAGACACGCCCTCCGCGCCTCCGCCTTCCCAATTACACTCCCTCCCGTCCTGGGTAGCTCTTTCCCCCCCGGCGGCCGGGTGTGTCACCGACGAGTCTCATCGAGCTTGCGATGGCGCTTGGGGTCGTCCCTACAAAATCCCCTCGCCCGCCTGCCTCTCTCTTCCTCGCATTCTCTCCCCTCTAACCCTCCAACCCTTTCCCCTTTGCTACAGAGTATCACCTTCATCCTCACGCCGCCTCTCTGTGCTACTGGGTGATATCGCGGTCAATTCGTGAGCTGGAAGAGCTGTCGTGGTATCTTCATACCGACAAGCGTGCTCGTTACCCCACCACCAAAGAAAAGACCCCGCCATCCCCGAGCTCTCGACTGCGAAGCTCCCCCTCTCCGCCAGAGCTTGTCGCCTGCCTCCATCACCAGCAGCTCCGTTCGCTTTCAGTTGTCTCTGACACCAATCGCCCAACATGACTGCCGAAGCCCCCCAGCAGCCCCTCACCTTCAACGATGTCTTCGAGGAGGATGAGGTCGAGGAGATAAAGGAGGCCAAC